AAAACTTATCTAAAAGCTTAGAAGGAATTAACCTGTAAGATTCTGACTCCTATAAACAAATATGCATTGGACTTCATGAGTGTATACCTTTAATAATAAGTAGTTAAGCCCCAAACCTTCCATCCTGAGGTGATATCATGGGTTTCATTATTACTGTGCATGCTGATTTTCTTTAGTCTTGAATATTTGCTCAGCTGTTCTCCCATCCATTCACCAAATATTTGTTGAGTGTACAAATACAGTATACCCTTGGAGGAGAGATAAGCCATATTTACACAGTTGTAGCAAGAGTGGCAGAATGCTAAGGCAGTGAGATTGGTTCCAGCTGGCCATGTCTGAAAAGGATCCTTTTGGGGTTGGCATTGGCTTCTGGGCTTGAAGAGCGTGAACTCTTATGGGGAGAGAGGAATAGATAATATGCACTGGGCAAAGTTTGGATTGAGTGGAGTGATACGACAGAAGACATGTGGGTTTGGGTTCTTCAGTGGCAGGCTGAGAAGTTACAGGCAGTGGGAACTATTGAGGGATATCACACAAGAAATGACATGGTAGGGCAGCTCCACGTCACTGGAATTTGGCAGGCCAGGACCCAGAGGTCCATGACCTTTGTAACTAATGAGATCTCTGTCCCTTTACAGCCTTAAAAAGAATGTCCCGACAATCTCAATGCCAGGAGACTGGTCTTCAGGGCAGACCATCAGTTTAGCGTGGTAGCTTTATCTCTAATGGGTCGCAGAGGCCATACTGTCATTGCCTCTTCTGTCCCATTATTCTCGACCCTAGCCCTTCTTAGAATTCACTGCTGCTTCATAAATGAAGTGTTTCTACAATCTTTACGGATCTGGGTCTTGGTCTCAGCATTCCCTTCCTCTGCTCTGCACATTTTACTCATGTTTTAGAGCAGAGAGCTAAGCATTTAACCTTGCCGTGCTTGCACAGAGCAAATTAGGAGAGTCTTATGATAGTGAGAGTTAATAAAGCTTGATAGACAATGAGGGTTGAGGTGGAGAAAGGGGGATGGATTCAAGAGACAGTGTCAAGAGGATAGAGATGGCTCAGCAGTTAAGAGTTCTCCGCTGCCCTTCAGAGGAACTGAGTTCAGTTCCCAACACCCATACCGTGAGGCTGGTAACTGAACTGCAGCTTCAGGGGATCTGGCATACTGGTCTCTGGGAGTGCCTGCACACACTAGGCATATACTCACACAAATTTATATAGAATAGAGACAGGATCTGACTGAACCTAGGCGTCAGAGAGAAGGGAACTGAATGGGCACTGAGATTTTGAGTCTGTGTGTTTGAAAATGGTGTTGGAAGGGCCCAAAGATGCCTTTTCTGTAAAAAGCCAAAGCAAAGCTAGAGCTGTGTAACAGGACACTTTCAGAAAGAAAGACGTCACACTGAACTGGGGGGCAGGGAGATAAGGGAAATCCAGTATTCTGGAAACTTGAAAGCTGGAAAGAGAGCTGATTTCTGTAGAGTTTATTTTAGGGAGCGCTTATGGACTCATTCACTTATTTGAATGTTTTCACAAAGAAATGCTAAATAATACTTAAATGTATCAGTTAACAAATAGTCAGGTGCTGTTTTAGATACCCTTTAAAATTATTTATTTAAGTTTACTTTATGTGCATTGATGTGAAGGTGTCAGATCTCCTGGAACTGGAGTTATAGACAGTTGTGAGCAGCCATGTGGGTGCTGGGAATTGATCCAGGGTCCTCTGGTAGAGCAGCTAGTGCTCTTAACCATTGAGCTGTCTCTCCAGCCCCTAGATACCTTTCTTTAAAAACATGTGTAATATTTCATTTCCTCCCCATAAAATCCTGTGATGGGGGTTCCTCGTTATTTTGCAGGTGGGAGGATTGGAGCTCAGTGTAAAACAGATACTAACTATGCTTTTGCTTAGACTTGACTCATGCTAATATTTCATGGAGTTGGGTGTTTTTTTGTTTTGTTTTCAGTTTAGTTTTTCTTTTGAGATGGGGCCTTACTTTATGACCCATATTGGCATTAGATGGCTAAGTGCTGCAATTTCAGGCATGTACCACTATGCCTGGTATTGTGCAGTCGATTTTTAATTCAGGGATACAAAGAGGGCATCTATGGAAGAGTGGGTAGCTGTCTCTGGCTAGCAGTGGGTGGGGCAGCTGCTCTCAATCCTGCAAGCCAAGACGTGTCCACTGAAAAGTACAGTAGACAGAATTTCTCCTGGTACTTGGCTTGGTCCTTCATCACGACCATCATCCCCCGCATTTTACTCACTTTCAGTTAACTGTGTGCCAGCAATGGCACCGAGTGCTTTACTGAGTTATTTTGTGTGATTGTTTCAATAACTCTGTGAAGCCACCACCATTTTTCATGTGAGAAGAAAGAAAAGGTAACTCCTATGAGGTCACACAACCAGCAAGTGGCAGAAATACTTGAGCCCATCTCTGTCTAACCCCAGAGTCCGTCTCCCTACCACACTGGTACTTTGTCGCAACCCCAGACTTTGTTTCTGTCCTCAAAGTTTTTACATTGGTTGCTCCTTTGTAGGTCCAGACAATCTGATGTCTAGATGCTTTGGAGACCAGCTTTGGTTTCTTTTCTTCTTGGGTTTGTGTTGCCATTAGCCCTCTTACTTACATTTGAGCCAGTCATTAAGAGAATGCAAGAAATCTGTAATCTTTTCTTTGTGTGACTTGGCGGTGGTGTGCTGATAATGCATGTGCAGATACTCAAATCCCAGAAACATTTTTATCATGCTGGGGGGAGGGGCATTAAGACATCTTGGTAGGATCAGGGGATACCTGCAGGAGGCTCGGTGAGGTAGTAGAATATTGGCTTTAATAAGCTTCACAGAAATCATGAAAGGACAGCCACCTCCTGTCATTTCATTCTAGTGCTTGTAAGAGAGCAAACACTAGCATCAATAATTAGCCTGGCTCTCTTCAGACAGACGAAACAGTGCTTTCCTGGAATAAAAGGGCAAATTTTACTCATCACTTACATGTTTCTATAAAGTGAGACTCACTGTCATTGTGGGAATTCTCAAAGATGCCCCACTCCTATGTAAGAAAATTATAGACAAGGATATGGGACTACTACTTATGCGTTGTAATACAAGCGAATAAAATAATAACCAATTAGATGTGCATAAAGCCTGAGTGTATTAAAGTATTATGCAAATACCGATTAATTGTAATACTATAAACTCAGGGAGCAAGCAAAAGCATGCCAGATTGAAATTACAGGGGCGTTTATTTGCATTTCCACAGAATCTATTATTAGTGGGTCTAAAAGGACCTTACAACTAATAATTACTAAAGCCCATAAATATAACCCCTAAATGTCATTTTATTAAGGGAATACAAAAGAACTGCCTTTTCTCATACACATTATAAGAATGAAAAATGCCCAAGCAAAAGTAGGCGTGTCTGTCTATAGAGGGTGTTTGCACACATGGGTGTTTCTGTGATTTCATAGGCACCAAACAGGAGGCTTTGGGATTCAAGGTTCTCCTACTGAGCATCTCCGTATACCTGGCTCAGATTCCTCATTTATTTCTGAAATTTTACATGCATAATAGCTCTGTTAAATCTTGCCAGCAAGTTATATTTTAATATTTCTCTGTCAACTGAAATATCAGATTTGACAAACAAAAGTGAAGCCAAGCCTCTCATGAAGCATTTTAAAATATTTTGGGGAATATTTCTGCTTTATTTTCCCTCAGACTCCTATCCTACCTATCCCATGTTGTAACTGCTTGTCTGAATAGATGGTGAAAGCTGAAATTGGTACGTGGGAACAAGGATCCGAAATGCCAAGAAGCTTTTTAATCTGACTCAGAATACCCTTTCTCTATTCCTCCTCCTGTGCTCCCCCATGCCAACCAATGGATGGAAAGACAACTCTTCCTCCAACTGCAGGTCCTACATGATTGACAGCAGAATTCACCCGTGGTATCAAGAGACCAAAATATCATTGCTGGTCAGGGTGGTGATAACCTTCAGGATTATGCTTTAATGTCCCCTAACTCAAAGAACAATGTGGACTCAGGAGCATGTCTCCGTCCCTCCGTCCCTCCGTCCCTCCGTCCCTCCGTCCCTCCGTCCCTCCGTCCCTCCGTCCCTCCGTCCCTCCGTCCCTCCGTCCCTCCGTCCGTCCGTCCGTCCGTCCGTCCGTCCGTCCGTCCGTCCCTCCCTCCCTCCCTCCCTCCCTCCCTCCCTCCCTCCCTCCCTCCCTCCCTCCCTCCCTCCCTCCCTGTGTGTGTGTGTGTGTGTGTATGGAGGTCAGAGGTGGATGTCAAGTGACTTCCTCAGTTGCTCTCCACGTTTTTTTTTTTTGTTGTTGTTTGTTTGTTTGTTTTGAGACAGGGTTTCTCATTGGACCTGAATCTGGCAAATGTAGCTCATCTTCTAGCCAGCGAGTCCCTGTCTCTCTGTCTCCATCTCCCAGCCCCAGGTTTTTTGTTTTTTGTTTTTTTTTGTTTTTTACATGATGTTGGGATCTAGACTCAGGTCTTCGCGCTTGCATAGGCAGGACTTTTCCAACTGAGCCATCTTTCCACCTCTGTACTGTGTTTTTCTCTTGGACTGTGGAGGCAAAAGACTCGAGGCTCAGCTTTTAGGTGCTGAACCAAAAAACGAGAGATGTGGAAGGGTGGGCTGTGGGATTGCTGTCGTGTAGGAGGATAAATACCATGCTAGAGTGGATAGGAGGCAAGGTAAACTATTCCTACAGTCACAGCAGTGAGTAAAATGTACACCGAATAAGACCGTTTCTACTACTGCATGGTCCCTGGGGACTCTGAGCACTTCAGAGTGACACTAGAAAGTAAGAGAGGGTTGGGAGCAGGTGAAGCAGGTAGCAGCATCCCCAGAATTCCCAAGTAATACAGGCCGGTAACAAACCTGGTCAATGGTGGTGTTTGAGAGATTGGGGGGGGTATTCAAAGTAGTTTGATATCTATTCTGTAAGGCATGCTATATTTCAAAATTCTGATTTTTGTATTTTTCCAGGAAAAACCGAGGCTTCTATCAAAAACTTCAGTCCCTACTACAGCCGCCAGTATTCTGTGGCTTTCTGTAATCACGTACGCAGTGAGGTGGAGCAGCAAAGAGATTCAACGTCCCAGCTCCTGAAGACGAAGGTAGGATGCTGCTAATATTTCAGTGATCTGAATTATAGTTTTTGAAACTACACTAAAATCATTTTATGCTAAAAAAACACTGCCTTAATGTGAGAATATGTATGATTTCTTGTTTATTGTGTGATCTATATGAAAAAAAGCTAGATGGGTTCAAATCTCATTATATACAATTTTTTTCCCATTGATGTTTTGATACCAGGAAATTTAGCTTGCTGTTGTGAAGTTCAGTCTAAAAAAAATTATGATTAGGTTTGTTTTGGTCAACGATCAAACATGATTTCCTCTGAAGCATCTTTGATCTGGTATGTTTGTTTCAAAACAAGCTCCCTACTTTCCTGGAGTTTATGTTAAAATGTAGGAGACGGACAATAAACAATGGGAGAATTGACAGCAGGTGATGGTGAGGTAATGATAAAAGCCACAGAGAAAATGAAGCAAGAGTCTTCCTTGGGGGATGTTGGTTGGGAAGGAAGTCCTCTGTAGAGATGATGTGGTATCTGATGGCAAATAGCCGTGGAAGGAGTATCCCAAGAAGATGGAGCAGGAAGTGGAAAGACCCTCTACTGAGACTACCGGCCTGCTGGGAGCTCTGCGAGTGAGGGGGAGTGGTGGGCAGTGACTGCATGGAGACAGGAACCAGAGCCTGTAGGTCCACTATAAGGGCTTGATTTTAAATGTGATGGGAAGTCCTGTGACAGGGCACCAAATATAGAGTGTCTAAGTTAGGGTTTCTATTGATGTGAAGAGACACCATGGCCACAGCAACTCTTATAAAGGGAAACATTTAATTGGGGCTGGCTTACCATTCTGAGTTTAGTTTATTATCATCGTGGTGGGAAGCATGGGTGTATGCAGGCAGACATGGTGCTGGAGAAGGAGCTGAGAGTTCTCACGTCTTGATCCACAGGCAGCAGGAAAAGAGAGACACACTTCTTCCAACAAGAACACCTAATGGCGACACTCCCTATGGGGGCCATTTTTATTCAAACGACCACATAGAGAATTTGTGTGTGTGTGTGTGTGTGTGTGTGTGTGTGTGTGTGTGTGTGTGTGTGTGTGTAGGTGCCTAGGGAGTCCACTTAGGTAGAGCTGGAGTTACAGGTGGTTGTGAGTCATCTGGTGTGGATGCTGGGAACTGAATTTGGATCCTTTCCAAGAGCAGTTAGCACTCTTAACCACTGAGCCAGCTCTCTAGCTCCTGAGATGGAGATGGTGGTGGTGGTGATGGTTTTATATGCATCTGTGGATGTGTTTGCCAGGTGGTTGGTTGTTTTGACCTGGAGCTCAGGAGACAGTTGTAGGCTGGGATTGTTAGTTTATAACCAAAAGCAGGAGGAAGGATGGAGACAGAAACACCAGCCTCAGCAACATTTGTAGATCCCGAAGAAGAGAGAGTTCAGACAAAAGCACTCAGAGGAAACACCCTGAGAAATAGGAGAAATGAGTCAAGAAAGGAAGGAGCAATGAGTGGTCCAGCGACAGCTGAGAGGCAGAGTTAACCTGAGAATTTAACAGTGTGGGGATCCCACAAAATAGCCTCAGAATTTAGGGAGCATGTCAAGGATGCAAGTTCGGGGGCTAGAGAGATGCTTAGCAATTAAGAGCACGTGTTGCTCTTTCAGAGGTCTTGGGTTTGGTTCCAAGCGCCACAGGGTGATTCACAAAATCCCAAACTCCAGATCCCAAGTTCCCAAGGGTGTGATGCCCTCTTCTGTCCTTTGTGGGTGCCAAGCACACACATGGTGCATAGGCACACACACAGGGGAGCCACTTGTACTCATAAAATGTATAAAGAAATTTAAAGAAAGAAAAGAAAAGGATACAAGTTCCAAACAGGTGTGGTGGTTGTGACTGTAGCTCAGCCCTGGGGAGACAATGGAGAGAAGATAGCTTGATCCCAGGACCTGGGCACCAGTCTGGACAATAGACTCCTGCCTTAAGCAAAACCAGTGCAAATCCTGAACCTAGAGACTCAGACACGGTAGGTCTAGCAAGAGACTACAGTTTTGATTGAGTGGCCCAGGTCTGAGGAAAACTGCAGGTAAGGACTATAAAGTTGCTTTCAGCCTCTTTTAAAGAGTGAAGTCCTTTTTATCTGTTAATAAGGCGAGATAGGAGGTTGCCTCTTCATCTGTCAGGACAGTCTTCAAGCCCTGGAATTCGGAATGGAATTTATTTCATTCCTTAGATGAATCTTAAAAGAAATAGGCCCGTCTCTTCCATATGAATCATATATATATATATATGTATGTATGTATGTATGTATATATATATATATTTAAAGTGATACATTTTGAAGACAGTATGTTTGTTTAACAAGGAGAATCAGTGTGATGCCAGTGGCATGTAAGACAAGAGGCACACTCCTGTGTGTTGCAATAATATGGGAATTAGGTAGCAAAACAGGATGAGGGTTTTCCTTATACAGAAAACTCAGTAAAGATCTAATGAGGAACCTAACAGAAAATTCTCTATGGCGCATACGCCAAGGCTGACGAGAGATGCTCATGAATGCAAGAAGTTGAACTGATTGTTGCTGGCTTGCCTTGTTTTTCAACCAAGATGCAGTCCTTAAAAAGCAGGGAGATGGGTAAAGTGTTCATAGCCTAGGTCCCTACTGCTTTTGGAAAAGATAGTTGCTTTGAACTGTCAGTTATTATTTGTTTGGGGCAGCGTCTCTCTATGTAGCCCTGTCTGGCCTGGAACACTCAGAGATCCACCTGCCTCTGCCTTCCAAGTGCTGGGATTAAAGGCGTGGGCCACCATATGTGGCAGAACTGTCAATTTGATAAAGCTTAGAATCACTGGGAAGAGACCGCTAATGAGGAATTATTTGCATCAAGTTGGCCTGTGGACTTGTGTCTTAGGTACTTTCCTCTTGTTGCAATAATACACCATGACCAAGGCAACTTATAGAAGAGAGTTTGTTTAGGGCTCATAGTTCCAGAGGGCTAGTGCCCATGACCATTGTGGCAGGCAACATGGCAGCAGTCAGGTAGGCATGGCACTAGAGCAGTAGCTGAGAGCTCACATCTTGAGATACAGCCACAGGCAGAGAAAGATAGAGACTTGGAATGGTGTAAGCTTTTTGAAAGCTCAAAGCTTGTCCCCCTCCAACATACTTTAAAGCCACACACGTCCTCCATCAAGGCCACTCCTCCTCATCCTTCCCAAGCAGTTCCTGTGGGGGTCATTCTCATTCAAACCATCACATTATGCCTCTTGGAGATTGTCTTACTTGTCGATTGACATGGGAAGAATCAGTCTCCCAGCACCATTGAGCTATGCAAGAGAGCAAGCAAGCATGCAAATGCTTGTTCCCTTTGCTCTTCACTGGATTTGATATGACTAGCTGCTTCAGTTGCCACCGTAAATTCCCTGAAATGATGGACTGTAGCCTGGAATTGTAAGCTAAACAACATCTTTATTCTTAAATTTGCTTTAGAAAGTCAAGGTATTTTTTAAATCATGACAGAAGTGAAACCAGGACAATAGGAAAACAGCTGACTGATTCTAGAACTAACCTTGAGGCATGTCAGTGAGTTGCAGTAGACAGCTGTACGTGAACTCATTGCACTGCCTCACTCATTCTTGTCTACATTTTATCAAGCATTTATTAAGTGCCACATGCATGCAAAGGGATAGTCCTTCTACCACATGCTCTCATTCCTAATCCATGTATGGGGGAAATGAGAATCACAAAAATACCATGTGACAAGTGTCTGCCTTTTCTTTAAAGGAATAAGAAGGGAATTTTATGGTATCTAAAAGAAAGCAACAATTTCCCCAGTATCGCTGCATACCATGATTTTCTAAATTATTCCCTGAATATCATGAATAATGTATTGTTAGCAAGGTATATTATCTCTTGTGACAACTAATCATAGTCATCTTCTTTAAGCCTCCGTTGGAACCAGGAACTGTTTTGTATGAAGCTGAGCTCTCACAGTTTGCTGAAGACATCAGGAAATGGAAGGACAGATATGTTGTGGTTAAAAATGACTTTGCTGTGGAAAGCTATGAGAACAAAGAGGTAAGATACGCCCATGCTACCCCCAGTACTTGCAATAACTCAAAACTTTGGCTGTGTTAATTGACATGCCTGGCCTTGGCAACTGATGGATTGGGTACTCTTCTCAATTAATAGACATTTGTTGAGTGTCTACTGTTTGCCAAGTGTCTTATACGGATCTGAATGAACAGCAGTTGATCAGACACATGCCTGCCGACTAGGGAAGAGATAGGCTTGGGAAAAGTGGTGGCAGACGAGTGTGGGAACAGGTTGTGCTAAGTGACTGTATTTGGTGTAGGAGGCTTTTCGGGGATCATTCATTCAACCTCAAGGTTCTTCTCAGTCCCTGGCTTGTCACTGTTCCCTCTGCTTTGTCTCTGTATTGTCCCACCTTAAACATCACATATGATACATGGCTGAGAAGTTAGTATTCGGTAAGACAGTGCCTGCATTTGCAGGGTTCCCACAAAGTGCACTCTGGATATTTCATTGCACTTAGAGTTAGGGACTTATTTAGTTAAACCTTTCCTCATCATTTGCCTTGTCTGTACAAAGGCAAAAAAATGAGCCTAGGTTTGAAAAGCATCCATACATGGAGGACTTCAGATTTCAATGCTCCCGCTTTCTTCCATCCTAGAGAGGCTATGTGCAGCTAGATTAGAAAGGACACCGAGGAGTGAATTTGGAAATCCAAAGTTTAGGTCAAGTTGTGCCACACACTAGAAGTAAAATGTGGACAAGAGACTTACCTGTCTCTGAGCCTCAGCTGAGCTGAGGAGTGAGTACCAATGATCACAGTAGATCCTTTGAAACCTCATATCATACACATTTCTTATCCAAAGCCAGTCTCGAGTACCTTTGAAATGTTCACCTATATTAGGATTATATTCAGTCCACAGCCCCAATTGTCAACACACTATAAATTATCATAGGCTTTTCATAGATATCCTAAAATGTCCCCTTAGAAGGCTGAGGAGGTACAGAATCTCAATGGGTAGTTAACATTATGGGCTTTGAATTACACCTTTGACAGTTACCAGATACATGCTTTTAGCTAAGTTATGTATCTCCTTTAGCCTCAGTTTTCTCTTCTCAGAATGGCAAGTAGAACCCCTTAGAAAGAAATACACGGATACATTGAAACATCAAGCAAATGGCTAGCCCATGGTTTAGTCCAGAACAGAGAAATTGTTGATATGATTGCTACTAATTGAGAGACCATGTTATTAGATTTATTGAATTTTCCTTTTTTAAAATAATTTTTATTTTATGTGCACTGGTGTTTTGCTTGTGTGTATGTATCTTTGTGTGAGGGGGTCTGGTCTTCTGGAACTAGAGTCACAAACTGTTGTGAGCTACCATGTGGGTGCTGGGATTTGAACCCTGGTCCTCCAGAAGAGTAGCTGTACTCTTAACCATTGAGCCATCTTCCCAGCCCAGATTAATTGAGTTTTTCACCCACATTTAACAGTAAAAGAAATTTCTTGTGAATTACATTTTGGTGATTTTCTTTCTTTTTTCACATTTGGAGATGTTTTCCCTCAATTTAAAATTTATTCTCTCTTTTCTTTGATCATTATTTTCAAATAATTTGTTTAGGTTATAAAGTTATGATGAGTAAATTTGATAATGATTAAATAGTTCTAAAAACCACCTGGGTATTTAAATGAAAAGACCATGTAGTTTGTCATCATTGTTGGACATTATAGCAAGGTCCTGTTTGTTAATTTATAGAAGTATTTCTTAAAATCACATGTAAGAGTTAGACATTAGCTGGAGAGATGGCTCAGTGGTTAGGAGCACCAGCTGCTCTTACAGAGGACCAGGGTTCAGTTGTCAGCGACCACATGGCAGCTCACAACTGTCTGTGACTCTAGTTATCTGACACCCTCACACAGACATACATTCAGATAAAACATCAGTGCACATAAAGTAAATATAAATGATTTTAAAGAGTTAGACATGACCTATTTGCTAATGTCTTGTTATTTGTTGAGAGTCCAATTTGGTAGTGGCCAGAGGGATAGCAAAGAGTTCCCATTTCATAATTCATCCTAATTTCACTTACACTTGCTAGTGGCTTGATAGATACAAGGATGAGTCTGGAATCTGTCACTCACCACTGGGCCATTGCATGTTATTGGACCTCTGTGAGTTTTAGTATTCTCACTTGTAAAATGGAGGTAATATCTAATTTATAGTGCTGTTTTGAGGATCAAACGATACAATGTATTTAGAAGCTTATTATAACCCCAAACAAAATTCTCAGTTGAGTCCTGTCTGAATCAATTGCTTCACACTATCTCAAAATCATCGTAGATTCTTCTGCTATGCTCTGGGTCCCCAGTGTGTTTGAGTAGTGGATTGCTAGTTCTTCCAAGTACCAAAGTTTTGTAGCACTCCGTGTATTTGTTTTGTTTGGGGCTCTCCAGGCACCATCTTACAGATGGAGAATGTGTTATTGTTATTTTGGGTTTGTTGCCCAGATCAATGTTATTTTAGATATTCCCAAGGGCACATTTTAGATTTTGGGTCCTACAGCTTCTTGGTTTCAATTCTCAACTAGCCCTCAAGTTGCTACTTTCAATAATTTGTCTTGACGACCAGCCTGCCCATCAGAGGCACACACTTGCATTTCATCTCACCTGTTTGTCCCTGGGGTATGTCGGCATAGGCACTTAGCGGGGCACTGGATCTCATTTGTGTTTCTCAGACAGCAGAATGGCTTATCTGCTGGCCAGAATGTCTGCTGATGTCATAAAACGGCATTTCCATCTCAATGACTTCATTGCAAAAATTCCAGCCATATCTGAGGACAAATGACCGCGCGCTTATTATGGCAACATCTTTTTGTTTTCAGTGTAACTCCATGGTAACCATCATTGTAGTTACGTGTAGTTACAGTGTTGCTCAGCATCTTATGTGACTCACGTCAGCAGAGTACTTTGTGCAGTGTGCGCGCTAGAGAGAGAGAGAGAGAGAGAGAGAGAGAGAGAGAGAGAGATTGTGAACTTTGTGGTTATCAAAATGAGTCAGAGACATCAGTGTCTGAAGTGGAGAACATGATACAGACATAGAGTTACTGATATTCTGTTTTACCACTTAAGAACAAACCTCCCGGGAGTCTCCTTGGCATTAGGAGCTCTGGTTTACCATTGTGAGAGTGACCATTAAACAGAAGTAAAAAATACCACTTTGTAAGCAGCAAGAATGCAAACCAATATATGTATGTATATAAGTAAATGACATATATCACTGGATATATGTGTCTGGACTTGTTTGAGTTTTAAAAAATATTTCTGACATTTTTTTCAAATATATGTATTGGGGGAGATCATTCATTCATGTCTTTTCTTTTTAGGCCTATCAGAGAGGAGCTGTTCCTAAAAGCCGAATTCTTCCAGCTGCAGGCAAGGTCTTAACCTCAGAAGAAGAATATAATCTCCTGTCTGATAAGCATTTCCCAGACCCCATTGGTAAGTAGCTTTGTCTTTCCCTGTTTGGAGACTTGGAAGGTGAGTGATGTAGAATTTAGACCAGTGATGTTGTTAAACAACCCACAATGCATAGGGGTAGTGGCCTAAGGTACCAGTAATGCCAAGGTGGAGGAGCCCTGGGCTAAATCCAGACACTCCATATTCAGAAAGTGGAGTTTGCTTATGCTAGGTCGACATCACACCATTTCTATTCACATCCACAGAGCCACACAGGCAGTTTCTGTGTTTATGGCATTGGAAATATGTTCTTGGTCAGGTATTTTAGAGCTTTAGGGATAGACTGTAGAATTTGATAACAACACTCAAGACAGCAGAAATACACAAGTCAGGCATCCTATGTGACATGTACAGTTTCATTTTTCGGTAAGCAAGTCTTGACCTGCTAGGGATTATTTTCTCATTTTATAGTGATGTGCAATAAAATATTCTAAATTGGCAAAAACCACACACATTTTAAATAAATGCTACAGGAACTCATAGCTACAGAGTAAAAGGAAGCGCTGCCTTTGTTGTCGTGTCTATAAATAGCGATGCATTGGCCTGAGAACTGGGGCGTGGCTCTGGACATGGTTCCCACTGTGCCTTAGCCAATGTTTTCAGGGCAGCAGGCCCTGGCTTCTGTTTCTTCCGTTTTAAAATGGAGCCTTGAACTTGAAAATTTTGGAATAATCTTTCCAGCTTTAAAATTCTTTTGATTCTCATTCATTTCATTTAGTTTTATGTAGAGAAAATGATGGATACTATATAGGCTAAATAGGACATTTCATAGAAATTCATGAACTGTGCATAATATAATAACTCCATCTGCCTTTGTGTAAATCACACCACACATTCATTACTTGCTTTCTTGAAGAGAGCCCTGGGTCTTATTAATGGGCATCATCATTTCATTAGAATTTGTGGAGAACTATATAATCATTCCACCAGTTGTTATTCCGGTGTAGATTGCTTAGTGTGGTGTTTTTAATAATACAATTATAGATAGTACATGGACCATAAAACTAGATTATCAAATTATTACTAAATAATTCAAGCTGAAGCAATGCTTTGTGCTCCCTGCTTAGAAAATACATGCCATTTTCTTCCAACATCTACCTATCTGCCATGTTGGCTGTGTACCTTCAGCTAAAAATGAGAATATAAGCATGTTGATTCTTGAGACTCTCTCCAGAACTTTCCAGTGTTATCTGTCAGAACAATACACTCATAGATTTACTGTTGAAATCATATCAGAAGGAATGAAAAGCATAAAGCTCCTGTGACTCATGCCTAGATAGCCCAGGGCTTCATGCATAGCATTTCAATGACTATTTTTATTGTATGGTTTGGCCTGCTGAATTTTAAAAATAGAATATTCCACAGTAGATCATTTGTGAAATAAATCAACTCAGAAAAAAATGTAGATGGATGGAGTCTAGAAAACTGTTATGGAGGGTTTAGTGAGAAGTAACTAGAGGTTAATATGTTTGGATTTTATAGGGACTCCTGAAGCATTTGAATATAGAGTCAGTCAGAGTTCCTTTTTGCCGTTTGTACAAAATTGTGACATCTTGGAAAGGGCATGAAGACTTGCTTCATAAACCATGTTAATCAGATCTACCCCATGGTGTTCTACCTGGAAGAACAAATTTAAACACGTTTTAACAGGGAGGCACTCATGTTGCTTGAGGAGAGGCACTGGATGCGTGGATCAATGTATGTTCTCTGTGGAATGTTCTGCCCGTGTGAACTGTCGGAACTGTCCCCATGCTTTACTACAGTGAGTCAGTCATTGGTATTTCATTAGTTAGAACCTGGTTTCTGCACATGATAACATTCAAGTTATTAAGTATGCAAGGTTTTATGATATTCCTCTAAGTATTTGAGCGCTGCTCCAGGATTAGTGCGGCAGGCACACATATTTGTCACTTGGACTCCCCTGGCTTTCTCCTCTTTTAAGTTTGGGCACTTATTAGCACTTGTTATTCTAACAGCAATATGAGTACTAGAGCTATGGCTCCTTCCATGTAGCATGAAGGAGAAAGGGGAGGAAGAGGAGGAGGTGGTTGCTTTCCTAAAGGATTGCCTGCATGAGGTTTGATATGGGAGTTCAGGTTATTTCCCATTGGCCAGAACTTAGGAGCAGTGGGTTACCATGCTGCAAGGGAGGCTGGGAATGTATGTGAAGTCTGCATTCTCCAGTGCCTCTTGCTCAGTTAAAAGGCAAAGCTTACAACCACACAGAAGGGAGAGTCTCTTCCGTGTGTAACTGCTCATGTGATTGTGTGTACATGCATAGATTCCTTCTTATGTTCTGGGTGTTGTGCTGAGCACTGGAGGGTTCAGCTTGTGTTTCCAGGCCATTCTGTCTCTTGCCTTCAGATTTCAGGATAGTGGAACCAGGTTCCTGTACTTGTCTCAACCAAATCTATTCTTATCTTGGGTTATTAATTTTCCAGTAGCTGACTTAGTTCTGAAAGCTTCCCTTGTGATCCATTTCTTGGTATGCCCAGCATGCTCCAGCCTCTCAGAGGCCCCCGTTTCCCTCACAGGGCACACTGTAGTTTCTGTGTGCTCCCCATGGCTATGGAAAGAAGTTGGATCTTTTAACCAAGTGTGATGTCCCGTGATAGGTAGGGATGCAAGGATTAGGCTGGGTATGTTTCTGAAGAGAGGCATGGTTTCACATGAGTTTCTCAGAATTGATTTTGAAGAAATAGTTAGAGCCCTCCTCCTGTGTGTGTGTGTGTGTGTGTCCACGCTCGCTTGCTTGTGTGTTGATAGAACTGAACCCAGATATTGGGCAACTACTCAACCTTTGAGCTAGACCCGTAGCCCCCTGGGCTTGTGTTTTCAGGGCTTCTAAACTTTTTGAGATCAACAGAGCATAACTGTTCATTCAACATGATGAAACTGAATGCCTCCTAGTATATTACAACTCTGCTATGGGCTGAGGATACAAGGATATGTCAGAAGTGGCCTGCATCCTCCAGGAGCCACTGTTCAGATACTTGCACAGACTGAAATGAATATTTACAGACCGAAATACACACTCATGCTTTAAAACAACCCGTGCTTCCATTATTTCTCTAGCTTCCAGTGAGAAGAACTCTCAGCCCTTCGTGGTCCTGCCCAAGGCATTCCCGGTGTACCTGTGGCAGCCTTACCTCAGGCACGCCTACTTCTGTTTCCACGAGGCCGCCGAGCAGCAGAAGTTCAGCGCTCTTCTCAATGACTGCATCAGACACCTCAACCACGGTAGGTTCTGCCACATTTTCTGAACTGCCTCGGTTAGTCTTTTGTCAGCATAATTCTTAGAGTCTCAGAGGGCATTGCACCCGGGAAAGAAAGGGGGGCTGTGGGCAGTGAGCATTAAACACAAGGAGCCTGAAGGCTTGGGGAACAGAGCGTAGAGTGTGGTGGCAGGTGCAGGCCTGTTCTAGGCTGCTTTTTCTGGTGATTCCCTATCCTGGCCATTCGGTTACTTGTATAATTTTTCCTGCTCCATTTCCCTGGCATGTTTATGGAATTTGTTTGTTCATTTTTGGGGGGGTTGTTTGATTTTGAACATAGGGTCTTGCTATGTAATACTAGCTGTGTTGATACTCACTATGCAGCCTGGTCTTGAACTCACAGTAAACCTCCTGCTTCAGTCTCTCGGGATTACGAGTGTGTCCCACCATGCCCAGCCTTCCTGATACTTTTAATTATATGGCAGCAAGAATGTGCCAATTGACCCTGGCAAAGCCCTAATCTCTATGTCATTTTTCATTTATTTCTGTGTAATGGTTACTCAGTTAAGATCAGTGGCATGGTTCATTGTAGTCTAATACTTGTTTTTCAATTAGCGGTCATGTTGGTTAGCTTCCTATCACTGTGGCAGTGAGGTTGCTGTCTGTGTTTGGTTGGTTGGTCCTGTTGCTCTGGGCCTGTGATGAGGATGCACATCTCAGCAGGAGAGAGGAGGGGGCTGGGGTCCCATGATCTGCTTCCAGGGAAGGTCCTCAATAATCTTCAAGGCCTTCCAACCATTGCTGTATCCCTCTGCCACCATCGCAAAGCTGTGGACCAAGTCTTTAACACACAGCCCTTAGGAGGACTTGCCCAAACCACAGAGGCAGTTCTTAAAACTTGAAGGGAGGTAAGAATTGTAGCTCAGAGGTTAAGAGCACTGGCTGCTCTTCCAGAGGTCCTGAGTTCAATTCCCAGCCCCCACATGGTGGCTCATAGCCATCTGTAATGAGATCTGGCCTGCAAGCATATATGCAGACAGAATACTGTATACACAATAAATAAATCTTGGGTGGGGGAGAATTGTGGGGAGAACCCAGTTCAAGGCCAGAGAGACAGCTGGGTGATTAATGAGTGTCTGCTACTCTCAAAAAGGACTATAGGTCACTTTGGGGGCTCACAACTGCCTGTAACTCCACCTCCAGGGAGGTGTGATGCCCTCATCTGGTCTCTGTGGACTCCTGCACCCATGTGCACATACTCCCACACAGACACACACAGGTGATTTAAAAGAAAACACATCTTAAAACTTAACTAAAACACAGGAGCTTCGACTCTACCCTTAGACAGTCTGATTCAACTTGGTTGGTGGGAGGCAGGTTTTGCATTTTTAACACGCTTCCAAGTGATGCCACTAGCCATACTCAAATGGTACAGCTTTAGATGGCGTTATTTTGCTTTTAGATATTGACTTACTTACTAACCCGTCTGTAAATAAAATTTTAAAAGGACTCTTCATTCCAGGGTGTCATTTCTGACATTTTTATATGAATGTGGGTTTGTCTGGGCTTGCAGGTAGCTGAACTGTGTTCTTTGGCAGTTAGAAAGGCAGGTAGTCAAATGTCAGAGGGGGTTAGTCTGTGCCAACTAGTGTACAAGTGTAGAGTAGTGAGGCATTTGCTCTCTTGGAAGTATGAATGCAAACAGGACAGAGGAAGAAGCCCACCCACAAATTCTAATTTGATAGGTAGCAAAGTTAATGTGTTAAAGAATAACTAGAAGTCACTGCTGAATGAACACGTATGAAGAGATGATCCCAAGCCCAAAGTAACTTAACTTTAAGAATCTTCCAGGTCATGATAGTGCAAAAGTGGTACCCATCTGGGCTGGCTGTGCTCAGTGTGATGCTCTCCCCTGATGCTGACAAGAGATCTCTCTGCTGGGTCACCAGATCATTTTGGATATTGTATTTTGCGGTTTCACAGTCCAACCAGTCGACAAAACACCCACCTGTCACTTTACAGGAGAAATTTGACACTTTGTTGTATAATGGCCTTGGCAGCTGATGGCTTTACTCAGCTGTAGGGTTAGGTAAGTACTTGAGTTTGTCTAAGGCAGGCTAGGCTAAGCTGGGATGCAGGTTAGGCGTCTCAGCTGCACTTGCAACTTACAACGGGCGTGTCTCAGTGCTACCCCAGTGAAGTCAAGGAGCACCTGTATGTGTGGAGTATTGTGGACGGGCTGACTAAGCACTTTGTCAATACCTCCAACTTTGTGCCGAATTTTAAGTTTATTTTGTGGGGGAGGTCTCTGGACAGATGAGTTTTTAGCTGAGTCACAGTAAAAAGTACACACACACACACACACACACACACACACACACACACACACACACTATAGCTAATTTTATAATACACTTATTTTCCTGTTTGGAGGTTCCCCTGACACTATCAGTTCCACAGAGTAACAGTCTCTGGTGCTACATCTTAGCCAGATCTTTGTTATGTATCCCAGATGTATGTATGATGTGTGCATGTATGTATGTATGTATGTATGTATGTATGTATGGCATATGTGTGTCCATGTATGTGCATGTGTCATGACATGCATGTGGAGATCAGTTGATAACTTTTGGGAGTTTGATCTTTCCTGACGCCAAGTGGGTTCTGGGGACCAAACTCATTACCTCCTGAGCCATCTTGCCAGTTCCCAACTCTTCTTGGTTTTAATATGTGTGTCAGCAGAAGGTAATTAAAAAAAAAGATGTAATTGTTTTTGCTACAGCAACTCCAAGTACCATAATATTGACTCTTAACTGGAGTCTTTATTGAAATGATTCCCTTATTAATATCATGCCTGTGCCTTCCCAGGACTAGCTTAGTTTTCAATATACTTAGAACCTCTGCATCTTGGGGCATGGTCTAGTGAGAACACACACCTGGCATTGAACCCAGGAAATACAAAGTTGCACTAAGCAGAGAATGTGTTCTGCCCAGTCAAGGGACTTGCTGCATTCCCCATTCCTTGTACATAATAGGAATTTCTCTGGGGAGATTTGGATGGTGTGTAGCCTGTATTTAGACACCATTTATGGAAGATCTCAGTCAATTCAGAGCCCAGCTCTGCTCTCTAGGATGTTGTCAAGGCACAAAGACAATAAAGTCTAGTTATATTTCCCTGGTCTGTGGCATATTCTTTAAACCAAAGGCCATTTGTTCTTCATTGATTCTTTATGCAGACAACTGGGCACACGTCATCATAGCATTGCAGAGAGCAGTCCTCGGTTGTTGCAGGCCAATGAGCTCATGGGGGTTTTTCCATCTTGCCCCACGCCCTGATTTCCCCCCTTGTATTTGATGGCACAATGTACCACTGTTTTTTTACTGAATCACTTTTTCTGTCCCAAGTCTCTACCTATTATTCATTGTGTGGTCTTGAATAAGCCATTAAGATGCTTTCTCAAGCTGCCGGTTCACTATATTTGCCAGAGTTGTTTAGAAAGGGCTATAAAATACTGTCTGTAACTAGGGCCAGAGGCCCTGAAGAGGCTGCTGCCACTGCCATTCTGCCACAAGCAAGCAAAAAGGCTCAGTCTGCTGTTGTCATCACCCCATTGGCTCTGAGGCCACCAAGTATCTTGCTGAGAACTGGGTCCTAGATGTTGGAGTACTTGAAATCAGTCTCTGTCAATCCAACATGGGCTGTTGTTTCTTCTCCTTTTTTCTTTTCTTTTAAAGGTAGGGGTTCTCTGTTTGGCCCTGGCTATCCTGGAACTTGCTCTGTAGACCAAGCTGGCCTCAAACTCATAGAAACCTGCCTTCCTTTGCCTCCCAGTTGCTAGAATTAAAGGCATGCACTACTACTTCCCAGCCCACATGGGCTTCTTAAGACACAGCCCCTAGTGCTGAGGTCAAAAATAGCTCAGCCCACTTGTCCCAAAAATGTTGGGTCCTAATTATTCTAGATACTCATATCCATTCTGAATTCAGAAACACTACTCTTGTACCTAACCTTATACATCCTCTTTAACCTTGACAAAGGCCCTGTCTATACCCTCTTTTTATATAGTATGACTGTCTGACGCCAGATGAAGATAAGTGGAGAGATCTACGGTCCTTCATCCTTCAGAGAGAGAACAGCTGCTAGGATTCTTTTCTCTAAGGAGCTCCACCTGCACTTGGCAGTGGACACATGCCTGGTCTGGTTTTGTCCCCCCTTTTTTTGAATAGATATAGGAAGATCTCACAAGATTAATCTTTATAGGACATCACATTCCAACTCAATTTTATTGCATGGCATCTGTATACAGCCGCTTACACCGCCTGTCCATTTAGAATTCACACTGCAGTTCCCAGTCCCTGACCATGTTGGGGACCTCAAAGTAGGATTTATACTTCCAAGATGTTCTGAGGCAGCTTTCTTCTCCAAAACTCAGTCCTGTGCTTCCCAAATACAGAGCTGCACACAGGCTATGTGGATAACGGTCATTATCGGTGTGCACTCAGGCCATGCGGGGCAGGGGGAGTGTGTTCCTGGAGGGGGAATGGGGTAACATAGATTATGGACTATTAGAAGAATTGAAGGAATTCTGTGATCTGGTGGGCACAGATTAGAAACAAGGGAAGACCGGGAAATGGAATAGATCTAAGCTAGAAAGGGGTGTTGCACTTTATATTAAGAATTGGGACTTTTTCTAAGAGTTGTGGACCCTCATTTGCTTTCAAGGGGTCACCGTGGCTGCAGCATAAGCAGCATGGAGAGGGGAGTGGCATTTTGTCGTGCCAGGAGGCCACGTTGGACATTTGGGCTAGCAACAACAAATGTCTATAGCCTGCACCAGACAAAGAGCATGAATTAGTGGGAGATTCATCAACGGAAAGCCATACTTCTTACCCTAAAGGATCTGGGATAAAGAGAACATGGAGTATTGTGGCATGAGTGGTAATTCTGCAATGGAAGTAAATGCTGGCACCTTTGTTCAGCAGTGCTGTGCTAGCCTGAAGGACGCTGCATTAACTTGAAGGGCA